ACCAAGTGCAATGATTTGACATTCAGCTAGAATTGAAATAATTTTGTATTAGCAAATTTTGAATGACACACAAAAATGGAAATTAAATTTTTATTAGTATTTATCACTCTCCCAACAGAAGTTAATTTACATAAAAAAAGCAAAAAAAGGCATAAAATGGTTAGAATAAAATTTCAGTAATTTTAGCTAATAATTTGATTTATTACAATTTTTATAACTTGTTACACTCTTTTTCGTCTTTATTTCAAATTATTGCTAATTTGTTTTATATTTGTTTAATTTATATTCTTTAATAATCTTTGTTCAATTTCAATTTATTTTCATATTCAATAAAATACTTTGTAACATTTTCAAATTTTACGGTTAGTCTGAATTCTTGATGTGCAAGTAAAACTCTTTCTTTTTCTTTACTTACTAATCTTACTTTGTAAATTTATTTCATTTCACTGTTCATTTAATCATCTAATTTCTTTTGCTTAAGCAATATTTATTTTATAATGCAACCAGAAAAATTTTAAATCTTTCGTAGCTAAAACAAATTTTTAATCAAAGAAAATCTAAATTAAATTTCATTAGTTCTCTAAGAAGAGAAATCAAGCGAAAAGATTGCTTAATGATAAGCATTACATATTATATGATTTTATTTGTGCAATTCTTTTTACTTTTACACACATATTTCATATTTACTTTTAAATAGCATTTAATTATATATATGTGTCCTCAAGAAGTGACACTGCGGTATTTGAAAAGCATTACTTGGGCGGAATTGTTACATACATCATACATACAAGGCGAAAGTGGAAAATAGATTTGTTAAGCGGACATTTACCTTCAGCAAGGACATATACGACGTTCAGCATGATGAACAACTAAGGACAAGGCAAAAGGTCATGATTTATTACAGCACTGAAATATTTCTGTTTACTACTTTTAACTTCTCATGAAACATTACAAATTTTGAGAACTATTTATTATCATAAAAATTTCTTTTTTTCTTTTTTTGATCAGAAAGTAAATATAAAATAAAATTGTGAAAAAAAAAAAAAACTCTTCTTTTATCGCTTCATAGTTGTATATTTTAGGTATATGAATTTATTAATTAGTTTAATAATATTTTGATAAAAATTTTTTATTAATTATTTTTCGTTGCAAAATAATTAATAGCTAAAATAATGCACTTTATTGTTCAAATAAATGCATTCAAAGAAAAAAAAGATTAACAATAGATGGAATTAAAATTTAATTATTAAACTGATAATATTAGAGCTTAAAACAAAAGAAAAAAAAGTTTACAGTTCATATTAAGATAGCCAAAATATTAGACTTAAATCTTATTAGCATAATTATTTGTTATTCTGGCAGATGTAATCATATTTAACAAGACAAAGGATCATTAATTAATACTGATTGCTTCGTTTCCATTTCTATTTTCTTCCAATTTCTCAAGTATTTTTCTTCTTCCATCTTAATATGTATTGATATATAATTTAAAACTTTCCCAAAATTGTCTAATTTTGATGGGAAAAAATTTATGATTTGCACAGCTGTTGTTCAGTTGCGTTTAATTTACATGGCAGATATGCTATACTCACTGATAAACAGTCAAATAATAATTGACACTTGGTGATCGTTTTATGGAGGTATTTGAAACTAAGTTAAGAATAATATTAGTCATAAATTGTAGTAAATATTTCAAAAACTTATTGTGGTTCAAAAAAAAAAAGAATTACAATATGGTAATTGTAAATGTAATTAGCTTAATTAACTTCTAGAACATTCGATTTGAATCTTTTTAAAATTTAATAAAATTAAAATTATAATAATAAATGTATATGCATAATTTCCTATTTTATTTAATATTTATTGGTATTACTTTGATAATTAATCGATAAATAGAGTGAAATTCCATTACTTTCATCAGCATATAAGATATATGCTAATTAAAAAAAAAAATTGAATAAAGTTTATTTTCATTAAAAAGGTATTTCACGTTAATATATCAAAAAAAAAAGAAAGTAAGAAAAGAATAAATTTCATTTCCACTCATTTCAATTTTCATATTTTCAACTATTCATTGCAATAAATTTAAATATACATTTTAACGGCAGGCATAAATTTAAATAATCCATAAAGCTTTTTTTTTTTTTTTTGTCGTATCATTTATTAAAATTTTGCTGCATTATAAGATGAAAAGAAAATTCAAGTAGTTATCACTTCAAGAAAAATTTTCCCCTTTTTATTCATTTATTTTTTTTTGTCCTTCTTTCTTTCTTTCTTTTATTATCCCTCTTATTAAACCCCCTAATGATCATTTTAACCTTTGAAAAAGAAGAGATAAAGGAAGAGAATGGACAGTTGTTTCTGTTTTTAGCATCTATTCTTTCTTTCATGAATTACTTCACAAAAGCTTAACATCATTACGGATTAATCTTTTCTTTTTTTTTTTTTTTTTTGTTTTCAGGTTGATTAATGCTTAAGATTATTTTTCCGGTGCTACAAATGAATGCAATGAAATAATTACATTTTGCATTTTCACTCATTCATATGCATCAATTATAATTATACTTATCAGTTAATTGATCAATTTAAATGTTAATGATAACACTTTTCAATTTTAGTTTATCATTATTCTTCCTAAATTTTAAATGAACATTTATTGACAAATTCAAATTTTATTACTAATTTAATTCGTGCAAAATTATAATTTTTTTTTGCATTTATTTAAATGAAAATTAGTGAGAAAAGAAATAATATAAAAATTTTTTAAATCTTAAAAATAATGGACCAAAAAAAGAGAACTGAAATTTATTCTAATTCCTATAGGTTCTTTTTCTTTTTTTTTCTTAACATCTTTGAAATGTTATAACATTTATTCATTGCGATTTTGAAAAAGAGAAAAAAGTAAATGATTTCCTGAAAAATAATGGGAAAATTTTGGAAAAAAAAATTGATCATTTATTTTCACTCTGAATTTAATATAGGCCGGAAGAATTTATCCCTCACTTTTTTCACTCATCACATTAGCTAGATGCTTTAATCAAAGTTTTATTCCTGGTACTAATATTTTATCGACAATCTTTCTCTTTATTAAAATGCCATTTTTAATTTTAATAGAAGTTTTTTTCCTTAAAAAAATCAAAGAAAACATTTTCAAGTCGTGTCGCATATTCATTCATTTATTCCCACAAACTTAAAAAATCAGTCTATTTTAAATGTTTTACATTTATATATTATATATGCTGCCGCAAACATAATAATAATAATTAATGATAGTAATGATTCAATAATAATAATAATAATAATAATAATAATAATAATAATAATAATAATAATAATAATATAGTAATAATAGCGATAATAAAATAATAATAAATAATGACGATGGTAATCGCCACGGCAGCAAAAGCTCTATTATTATTTATTATCACTATTATTATTATTCTTATTATATTATCTCAACAAAGCTGTACGCTGATAAAAATGATAATTTCCATCCATCATTAATTTAACTCTGCTCCGAATTGTTACTACAAATTTGATTCTACATGAAATTGTTATACAGCAATTTATTATTACAAATTTAATTTGACATAAAATTATTACTGTAAATTATTATTTATTTATTACTACAATAAAATTATTACTATAAACTTAGTTATTATTACAACAATTTGCAAATGTTCAATTTAACTAAAAGCATATTTGACATATGTGATGAATAACCGCCTGATCTCATTTATCATATCTTTGCCATAATTTAATCAACACTTCCATTCTTTATCATTCTTCCGCATAGAACAGGTGCGCGACAGATTATTGGCGCAATATGTTTTTTCCTTTTTTTCTGTACTTTAGACCAGATGTACTGATTATTTCGGTTTTGGTCAGAAATTATTGCGCAGAAAACGCTCTTTTGAATAAAAAGAAACAATGTATGCCTTTGTACTCTATATATACACATATTCCGTCCAGAAATAATAATACAAAAGTAATAAAATGAAATAGGAAAAGCCATAAAAGGAGAATGGTAGTCATAAAATTATTTAAAGAATAGAAATTATAGAGGAAGAAGAAAGATATTACATTTTGACATATGCTACTTTATTGATTTAAAGTGTAGCAAAAAAAAAAAAAAAAAAAAAAAAACGAAGAAAAAAAATGTTATTATAAAAACGTTATTATAAAATTATTATTATGAAAATTTTTAAATTTAAGAATTGTATTTTTCTAGTTTTTTTACTTTTTTTTTAACAAATCTTTAAATTTAATAATTACGAATATTAAAAGCGGAAGATGAAAAATTATCATCAATGCAGTTCTAGTGATTATCATTTCACACCTATGTATATATGTATAAATGCACTAATATCTTTCATTTATAATTTTCGAGTCGGAAGTAATCCGGATTTTTCTCGAATGTTATACGGGAATGTTCTTTCATTGATTGACAATTGCAATTTTGAAGTGCTCACAAATGTTTGTATAACTATCCAGCAAAACGATGATATCAATAAAAAGTTGACAATTTTGATAACCAGTTGATAAATTTAAAATAACGAATGATGGTAATTATAATAGTTTAAATATGAAAAATTCTGTTTAAAGAGTAAATTCAAATCAAAATCATCACAACTTTTTTTTTTTTTTTTGCTTTTTTTTAAAGTTCATAATTTTGATAATAAGTTGACAAATTTAAAATAACAAATGATTATGATTTAAAAAACTTTCATTTGCTAGAAATTGCTATAAGTTTAAAATTTTAATTAACATAAAACAAGCATTGCTTCGAAATAGATGCTAAATTTCAAAGAGTATTACAATTTTTATTTATAACCAATTAAAATTACTTTTTAAATCACCCAACCAAAAAAAAAGAGAAAAGAAAGAAGAACTTTTATAAATGTATTTAGTAGTAAAAAAAAATAAATAAATAAAATAATAGATGAAAATATCGATGAAATTGTTTGAAGGATAAAATTTATGGATAAAATTTTTGAAGC